CTGAATGGATTTTTTCTATATGAGACATTATTTCTAACATTTTTTCCTTTTTTTAACCTAATCATTGACTTGTTTTGGTTTAATATTAAATTTTTTTGCTATTTCATGAACATTTCTTCTATTATTTTCAAAAAAGTTTATTACCATAAGTTTTCTTTAACATTCTACTATCTCCGTTATTTTTGTGATAATCAGTTGCATGATTTTTTGTTTTATTTCTTTTCAATAACTACTATTTTATACTTTACATTATAAATAAAAGATAAAACAAATTTTGTAAAATAAACGTATAAAAAAATATGTAAAATAGCGAAACTTAAAAAATAAAAAAAGCATATTCATTTTTCCCTAATAAGATAAACAGCTTCAAGTTATCAATAAGAATAAGATGAAGCACATCATGGGAAAATGTGAATTTTCCAATACTATATTCAGAATTGTCAGCTGGACTTAAGATATATTGCAGATAATTAACAGATCATATTAGTAATAAGAGGGTATTATATACAGTAAATACTCAGAGTATTTTACAATTTCTGTACTCTTCTTATGTATAGTATCCATCAGTGTAATGTATCCCTAGATACAGCAAAAAACCTCTAAAATTTGCAAAGGACCCAAGGTACTATGATCTGCAATATACAGTATATTAATAATAGTTTTATCCTTATTTTTATAATTATTATTAGGTAAAATATCTGCTTTCACTCAACAATTTTCAATTGTTTTATTTATAATATTATCTCATACTTATGAAATGTATTTTATGCACTTTTTAATATCAATTTTAGAGGGTTTAATATCATATTTATTTAATTTATCAAAAGCTTTAACCTGATTTTGTAAATATAGCTTTTAATATTATGTCTAAAATAAGTTAAATTAGAACTAAAATAAATAAAGTATAAATATAATAATATCAATTATATTTTAACTAAAAAATTATTAAATTAATTACATTTCTTATCTTAAAACTATTATAATATTTTGATCACAAGATTAGAGGTGTGTAGTGATGTTTGAGAAAAGGGATTAAATGGTGATATTGGTCAGGCGGGTGGTTTCATAAAGAACGTGTATCAGAGTATTGTTCACAAGAAGAATAATTTTCTGATTTTATCTTCTCATTTTTGTATTAAGTTTTTTATATAATCATTTCAGATTAAAACTTGCATCCAACTTTTTTAGTTCTAATAGTATTCAACTGAAAGCGTTCTTTTATTAATATTCTTGATAACTCTAGGATTTTCATACTTATATATAAATAAAAGTATCAGCTTTTCACTTCCTGTTGCGTTATATATGAGTAGAATCATTACACGATCTTTTGATTATTTCTTTTCTGATATTTGTTCATTAGATATTGGTTAACATAGTTTTATCTTCTAAAACAGTCTTATTTCATCACAATTAAATATATCTTTAGAACTATATTCTTTTAATATTTGCTAAACATTCTCTCTCATTATTTTGAGATCTTCAAGCGACGCATTTGCAGCTTTCCTATGTATATAATACTGTTTAAGGTTATGTCATTTTTTAAAGTTGTCCACCTAACCACTAAACCCTTTAAACTTATCCTCCTTTAATAAAAAAGCAAAACTCAAGGCTTTTGTTGAAAGAATATTGTCAGTAATAATGAAGCTAGCTTTGAATGCATTATCTACTCATATTACTAACGCTTCTTTAACGAGAAGGAATGGAGTTGTCTTATCACATTTCAAATTAGCTTAGTATGAATTGGTATCCACAGAAGCCAACGGTCTTTTTCCTTTAAAATATCACTTACCATGCCTTACTAACGTTATATTCATTAGTCAAGTCTTTTTATTTTAAAAAAGGTGATGATATTTTTTTCAAACAAAGTTCTTTTTTTTTGCAGCTATAAGAGACTTTTATTTTTTTTAAAGGTTTATCTTGTTTGTTAATATGTTGATTAAGTTGTTTTTTTGAGTTTACTTTTAGCATTATTGACATTATGCAAAGAAAAAAAAAGTGTAAAAAATAAAATATGTAAAAAAAAATATGAAACACAAGACATAATACATAACGTAAATATTTATTCATTTTTTAATTTTATTTAAAAACTAGATACAGAGAATTACAAAATTTTATATATATAAATCTAGTAAAATTCATTTTATATATAAATTTTTCTGACTTTAATTCGTTAAACATAATACAAATTTTTAATTACTAAATTTAGTATAGTAAGAATTTTTTATATTTAAAAATCTGTCTGACACTGATAATCTATTGTATTGTAAAATTCATTATATCAAAATTCATTGTAGAAAGAGTTGATTATACTTTTTTTTATTTTTTATGTAATATAATAAACTGCCTATATATAAATCATATTGTTGAGAAATATGTCTTTTTTTAGTAAATCTAATGAGTGGTTATATTTGAACTAGCTTAATAAATCTCATCTGAACTAAATTCTGCTATTAGATTATACTTGATCAATTATTATATTGATGTTATCATTTCTGATATTGCATAAAAGTATATTATGATAAATTAATTATAAATTATATAGAAAATTACATATTTAAATTGTATATAAAATATACTATACAAAATATTAGATTAATTAAATAAATTAAAAACTAAAAATATAACTAATGATAATATTAATTCATGATATCTTTCAGTTTTATTAATATTAATATTATTTTACCTGAAATTCAAATTTGAAATAAAATTTTAATCTTATCTGAAATCTAATTAAAGATTAATTAATTAGTTTTGCTAAATCAAAATAATCAATAAGTGTAATTTAACAAGTAAAAAAAGAAAATTCAAATATTTTAAACAATATTTATGAAAAAGTTCCGGGTATTATACATGGAAAAAAATTCTCTATTTAACCGTCGATCAGACCTTGAACAAAATGTCAGCTGATTCAATTTATGATATATAGTTATTTGATATACCAACTTTTTTTTAAAAAAAATTTTTTCTTTCAAAATGTCTTGGAAAAATTTATTATCAAAAAACCTTAAAGAACTTCGTGTTCATTTTTGTCAAACTAATCCTGCTAGTAATGGAGTTAGGTAAAGAGATTATCAAATAAAAAAAATCTTATTGATCATTTTTAATTATTTTTTTTATTTATCAAAAAAACAAAATATAAATAAATAAATTATACAGGGAATTTATCGCCAAAAATTATCTCCCGTTAAAAGAAGCTAACCCAAATTTTCCAATTTTAGTTCGTGAAGCAAGTGGTGTGGAAGCAAGATTTTTTGCTCGTTATGGTATAAAAAAAATTTACATCTATTTTTAACGATTTATTTTAATTGTTTTTATTAATCATTCTCTATTTCATTAGGTATGGGTAAAGAGAAAAAAGTTGTATTGAATAATTTATCTGCTAAGGATGTAGAATCTAAATTAGAGGAATTAGTAAGAGTAGCAGTATAAATAACATTAATAATTTGAAAAAAAAAAAAAAATTAGAATTGAATTATTTTCATCATTTTTTCAATCGTTATTATTATTTCAATAATAATAGGAAAATGAGCAGTTATAATGAATACATTCCCCTTGTAATTATCCTATTACAACATTATTTTCATCAACTTCTATATAATTTTTTCCATTACTATGTAAATCAGCCAAGTAAGCAGGCAATGGAGGTTCAGCGATTCCTGCCGTAATCATTTTCTTTAATCCTTCAATTACATTGGTCCCCTCAAACAGAACTGTTGCTGATAATGACATCGAATCGTTCATTTGATCATTGTGTAAAGGAAATGTTAACTAATAAATAGATAAAGTTCATTTTAAATAAATTCTTGTACAATAAGGGTTTTTTTTTTTTAATTAATAGTTTTTATTTTTTCACCTTAATTTCAACTACATCAATTGATGGCTGTTCGTTAGGTCCGAAATCATCATCCACTACAGCATCTCTTTTTTTCACAAGCAAAATGTCATCATCATCATCCATCATATCTTCAAATTTATCATTATTTTTCGGCATATCTAAAGAAATTTGAAGATAAATCAAAGCAAGCAAGAAATCCATTCCAATAAATTAACTTGACATTTAAGTATTTATACCATCTTTCTTCAACTTTTTTGAAGGGAGTAATAATGGGTTATCATCAACTTGATTTAATCGATAACGACTGTATGTTCCCTGAGATTGTCGATGCAATAAAAGCTTTTCAAGAGAATCTACATATTTGCCTTTCAAATCCCACTCTTCAATTTCATTGCATACGAAGGTTTTCAAAAGCCCCTAAAATTACACTCTTTTTATAAATTTTTCTGAAATCCAACAAATTTAAACGGAAATTACGAAGCCTTTTTTACCTGCATTATAAATTCCTTGTGCTCACGTTTGATATTACTACATAATAAATGTTCAGAGTTGGTAAAATAAATAGCGTAAATGATATTTGTACTTATAGGAAGAACATTCGGTGGAATTCCATCGTGAATACTAATACGTATCCACCAATTTTTTTCAAATGCTTCAATATATAAATGCTGGATAAAAATTATTTATTAATATTGTTAGATCTATAAAAATAAAAAATGTGCTTTTCATACTCTTACAGCTTTGAAAAATGGCGAGAGTTGTATCGAGAGTGATGAATGAAGCTCTGAAGTCTTTCGAAATTCTTTTTTCTTTAGTCCTAAAAAAGAAAAAAAAAATTAACTCACATGGTACAATGGGTTTATTATTAATTATAAATATCGATACACGCCATCTTCCCAGCATAGTTTCAAAGCTTTCCAATGTTTGAGGCTAGAGTGATCATGATAATCTAACAGATATTTATTTTATTTAATTTAATAAATCTAAGGAAATTAATTATATAAGTCATTGAAATTTTACAAAATCCGCGTACATTTCATATCTAGTTGAGCCACTTGTTTATAATTTAATCCATCTTTCTATAAAAAATATTTAACACAATTAATGAAGTAAAGAGTAAAGTAAAGGTAATTTAAATTTTTAAATGGAGAGCATACCCAATCCTCAAGAAAAATTTTATCAACTATTTTCTTTTTACTTCCGGAACTTGAAAGTTTCTCATAATGAAATAAAAGTCGTTTGACTAGTTGTTGTACATTGGTATCATTGGTATTGTTAAGAATTTCTTCGTCTTCATAAAGAGCAATTATTTTTGAACGTGTTATAGGGTCTTGTAACCATTTATGAATAACATTGAGTAGAGAATCTTTCGTATGACGGTTTATGACACGACGAAGAGAGGCGTTGGGTGCAATAATGGTCTTGTCATTGCGAATAAAAGAGTGAAGGGGCATTTTTTGTTTTTTTTCAAAAAAATTTAAAGTAATATTAATGGAAAATACGCGCAATGATTTGTGCTACATCACGTGGACGTGTGAATGCACTTTACATATATGTTCATCAAACCTACCGCGCGTTATCTGGTCAGTTTATTAGCTATGGATTGCTTAGAAATTGCTTTTAATAATGTTCATGCTTTTAAAGGTATTTCTTAACGGAAATTTGTTTATCATTAAAAAAAAACGCAATTAATTTTGGAAAAAAAAAAAAAAAAAAAAAACAAATATGTTAGCGTTGACTGCATGGATGTGCGTTTTCACAAAAGATAGTGTGTTTATGAACGTTAATAGAAAAGAAATCAAATTACTTTACGAGGAAGCTAACCGAGGAATAGTTTTGGGGTAATTCGTATGATTAGTTTTTTTGGGAGGAGGGACAAAACGCGTAAAAAAAGTAACAACTTTTGTAAAATTTAATTATATAGAACTTTGAAATTTTATAAAAATGCTCAACAAACTTATGAATCAATTGAATCCATAAAAGTAAATCGCGCCCATTCAAACAATGACTTCACATTTGAACTTAACATTGATAGTTTAAAGGAAGCGCTAGATTGTATGGCAGATGATAAAAGGATCATCAAGATGGAACTTAAAGACCATGAAGATGGATTTCACATCCTTTACTTTACAGTAATTGATTTTTATCGTTTGTATTTGATCCAATTTAATAGCGTTATATTAATCCTGGTAAATAATTTCAGGGATATGCAACCGAATACTTTGATCGATCCATATCAAAATTTTTCGTGAATTTGCATAATAATCTACCACAACTTCCATCAATGAACGTAGTGTATTCATTTGATAATACATTCATTCTTATTTCAATTAGATCATATAATAATGATAATAATTTTATTTTTTTCCTTTGATAAAATTTTTGATTTAGCGGTTGATGATGAAATTTGAACAAAATGATTTAGATAGCCTTCAAAATATTGCCAAATTATTGTCAGAAGTTAAAGATAATTTGATGGTAAAAGTTCAATATGCCACCTATTATAATATTTTCCAAATTAGATATTCTCAATCTACGGGAAGTAACGTACGTCATAAAATTAAACACAGAATTGTAAATCAAGGTAAGAACTTAATGAGATTACCAAAATTATTTTTAAAATTATTTTTTATTTATTTCTCTTTTTTTTTTTTTTTTTTTTTTTTTTTTCTTTTTTATATAGACGATGACATTTGCAAAGTTACAAAGGTCAAACCACCATTATTGGCTAAATTTTTTAAACTTGGGTCATTAAATCAACTCTCGTGCTGTAAGTTACTTGAAAAAAAATAAAAAAAAAAATTTTTTTAATTAATATTAAATCATTACTTCTTTTTAGGTATTAAAAATGATGGATCCCTTCTGCTCGAAGCCGAAAATTATCCAGAAGAAAATGCGGTAATAAAGGTTCATTTGAAGGGTTTATCAAAAGAAGAATAAGGAGAATTCTTTTACAGTTTTAATATATTTATATTTAATAATAGTAATTTAATTACAATATTTTTGGTTAAATAATAAATCTTTTTAATCTTAAAACTATAAAATTAATGACAATCAGATCATTCGAATAAATCGGACCAATATAAATATTACATGCGATACGAATTCTTTTTTCTCTTTAAATATTAAAAAAAAAAAAAAAAATGTCATTTGGTAGAACACCAAATATATATTCATTTAGTCCAACGCCACCTGAAAAAGGAAGTTTTCCTTTAGATCATGAAGGTATGTATGTATTTACATGATGTTATTTAAATTTAAAGGTTTATTTTTTTTTTAATAAAAAAAAAAAGCATATCCGTGATCTAGGTGAATGTAAACGGCTTGTTAAAGAATATCTTGAATGTTTAAAAAAGAATCAGGGAAATAATGGAAACTGTAGGCATGTTTCAAAAGCTTATTTAAAATGTAGAATGGACAAGTAAGATCAAATTTAAATCGAAATTAATCAGATTGAATTAAAACAAATTTTCATTAAATATGAATATTCTCTTAGAGGATTGATGACACCTGAAGAGATGAAAAATCTAGGATTTCAAGATGAAAATGAGATAAAAAAGATTGATGATAAATAAAAAAAAAAAAACTCATTTATTTATTATTATTTTTTTAAAAAAATATATCTAATTTTATCCTTGATATTTGTCCAAATTAATAATATAAAGGCCAATAATATACAGAGATTACCAATAATAGTATTTACACCTATGGGAGTATTAGTAATGAGCCAATCAACCAAAGCAACGACTGGGATGGTTAACATAATACCAACAGACGCAAATAACGGAGAAGTCAATGCTATCAATAACATAAAGCTAGCATTAAAAAATACTCCGGCTATCGCAGTTGATAAGATATATCCAAACGTTTCAGGATCAGGCAATTCAAATATTTCAATACCCAAATAATGTAATATCGGTATAGGTATCCAAAGAAACAATAGAGTACATAACCCTATTAATCCCGTTATCGTATTCGCAAATAAAAACGAAGTTGTAGGAGGACTTCCCAACTTCTTATAAAGGACTTCATATAATCCATAAACAAGTGCTCCAAAACACGCGATAAAATCTCCAACTTCAATATTGTGCGCTCTTTCATTCGGAATTAACAATGACATGACCATCACTCCCGTGATACTTAAAATTACGGAAAAAACTTTCTCTATTCGAATTGTTTCTTTCAATAAAATGATTGAAAATACATAAGCCCAAAAACAACTTGTATTATATATCGCTGTTAATTTGGCCGTGGTGGTTAAATTTACTGCAACGTACCAAATATATCCTGGTGTACAAATAATAATCGCAAATAATAATGATATCTTAAAAATATAAATCATTACGGGTCTATAATGTTTGGATGTTAGGATTTGAGTTATCGATGTAACCACCATCGGGTGATCATATTCGACGTCTTCCTCGGTTGGATTTGTTGTTATGATCGCTTGATATGTCGGTTTGACGGTGCTAATTAGTCCAATTCCTATATTAAGGAATTCTTCCATATATCGAAGTGGGTTCAATCTAAACATAAGTTGAAGTGGTAAAATGATGATATAACAACTATGTGCAACCCATCTATTTAATTGAGGTTTGGATTAGTAATCATATCAAATGTAAAAACAAAAAATTACAATGACTTACAAAAAGAAATATGGTTTGTGGTATTTCATTCCTTTATTCACGAATTGTGCCAACTCCTATTTAAATACGAAAAAGAAAATATGTTTATTTATCTTGTTGAAGGTTTTCTCCCAATTTATTAACTATCAATTACCGTTTCTATAACAAATGATGCAATACATATACATAGTATGCATATACCTAGTGTATGGTGTGATTTGCGAACAGGAACAAACCTGCCTTCTTCAATAAGGTGAACATTTTCGTCATGTATGACTCGTGAAGATGGTATGGTTGACGAATTATCCGAATTATCCGAATTATCCGTCATTTTTTTTTTTTATTTTTATTTTGTATTTTATTTTTGTTATTTTGACTATGGTAATTAAATTCAAAAGTTATGTTACATTACTTTCCTTTTATATCATTCATATAACCCTTGTAATACCAACAACGCGAAAATTTTTCTCGAATTTGACTTTTTTTTGTTCATCTTTTTTTTTTACGAGATATATATATATATCTGAGTATTTTGCTTCATGAATGTAATTAATATTGATGAAATTTAATTTTTTTATCCTTGAGCTATGGCATCTATTTTTCTTCAATCAATATTTCATCCAAGTGAAATTGTAGCACTTGTTCAGTATAAATTTTTCAGACCTTCCCCTGTTAACTTCATTCCTCCCGAACAAAAGGCAAAAATTCGTTGTTATGAATTTTTAAGCCAAACTTCTAGGTCTTTTGATGCCGTTATTCGAGAATTAGACGATGATATTAGAG